TCCCTGACCTTACAACTCCCCGACGTCTATAAATTTCAACAGTTCAATTTAAGCGGGGTCAGGGAACCAGACTACACGAAAATTATTGTTTTTTTTCTTGGTTTTTCCAGCATCTACGAAAACAAAACTTCAAACAAGTCAGTGTAACAATATTTGCTATACTAACCCCCAAATCCATCCATTTCTGAAAATTACAGCAAAAGCAAATGTTGTTATATTCCCTTTAAAAGACAAATGAAAAACACCCTGGGAAAATCCTAGTTCTACCTCATTTTATCATGTAGACATATATTCAGTTACCTTCATGTACATTGTACATGCTCACAAACTGACCCTGGTGTACAAATGTACATCTACATGCAGGTATGTGTATTATTATTCAGTGTTGGCCATTTTGTCCTGTGCAAGTCCACGGTGCTGGTTCCCTGCATTCCTGTAGCACTGCCCGATGTACATTGTACATCAAGTGAACCAGTAGCATTTATTTATAAGCACTTCTGCCCTTCAGCTGCACGGTATGGTGGTGTATGTGTGTTAATGCTAGGTCACTGGAAAATACTGCACATGTGCATAAACAAACTCTACCAAAAATTCTGTCAGCATGTTGGTCTAAAGATTGTGCAAACCACTACGTAAAACCATGGAGAACGTACTTGTACACATGGTAACACTAAGAGTGTAAGCTTTACCATGTAACTAACCAGCTGTAATTTTACATATTGGGTCATCATTTTTAATTCTGTACTCTACATTTAGTCATAAATCTCCTCACGAAAAATTTGTTCCAAACATTTATCTTTTACAGTGTTTGAGACAAGAAAGGGCATTACCCTCCTATGCAAACATACATTCTGTGCCAAGTTGTCCCTGCAGTCAAAATCAATCAAGTGACTGTTTTCAACAATTAAAAGCTCCCGGCTTATAATAACGCAAGATTGACTGGCTGTGACTGTTTATGTAACTCGATACAGCTATGCTTGACTGTAGGTGATTGATAAGCCAGCTGTGCCTATTAGTTGCCTGCTTTTGTCTGTTGACTGAATTTGACTAGTCAGAGTGCTTGCTTGAAATATAATCTGACTGTTGGTGACTAGCCTGTGTAAAAGGCATGGCAGGGGAAGTGGATGGAGTTTTGACTGTCTGTGACTGTTCAAACAGTAGGAGAGTTAATACTCAACATGCAGTGGTCTGTGTGTTTAAGTGAGTTCAAGAGTCACTCAGTGGGCTCGTGGGGGCCCACGTGCATTTTGGGGTACAATCTTTGAAACTCTCAAGATCACCTCAAGAAGTCAAAACTACTTGATGCCATATTTTCTGACCCTTTTAAGGGCAGGAGCCACGACATTAAAAAGTGGGGGTTTAGCGCACAAAAACAATTCAATAATTTCAATAAATAATAATATTAATAATAATGTGCAGCGGAAGATGTTTATTGGCGTTGTTTTTTTTGTTTTTGTTTTTGTTTTTTTACATTTCTTGCACATCATGTACAGTGCCAAACTTGTTCATGCGTATGCAGCCGCCCACTTTCTCCTGTTTATTTGGACACAAGTTTTGTTTTCCTAATTTTTCCTGTCCAACGGGTGCACATGTACCGGTATACCCTACAAACAACAAACCTGTTAAAGTGTACACGTTGTGCAACGCCAGAAGTCTTAACGTTCTAGAAAGAACATTTAAGGCCGGTTCATACTCGGCATCAAAGTGAACGCAAATCCGAATTTGTGACGTCAGGGGCACTTTTCGCGCTGCGAATTCGCAAAAGTTGAACACATTTCAACTCCGGCGAATTTCGCAGCGAATGCTTCGTGACGTCAAATTTGCATCGCATTTGCATGAACCGGCCTCAAGCGAAGTTCAGTGTGAAGCAAATTTGTTTGTTACATGTAACTGTGAACATCACAATGAAACTTTAGTTGTCACGAAATTTGCTTCACTTTCGCTTTCCCGTGAAGTGTAATCTGGCCTTTAGGCAATTACAAGTTAGTTTCAATAAGGGAATACATGTAAATGTGTGCTTGGGAGGTTTTAAACACTCTGTTTAAGACCGGTTGGAGTCTGGATGCTGATAATTAGCTAAAAAAAAATCGCAATTTACACTTGTAAATGTTATGAAATAAAGACATAGCCTCTTCTTGTTTGAATGTGAAATGTGTTCTTATGTGGTTCGTGGTCTCCCTCTCTCCACTAATTTACCAGCACAAGCTACCGGCAATGCCGATAAAAAGTTTTCTGTACTGCGAAATGCGCCGGAAAAAAAGTTAACCATCATTTTACTAAAGTGAAACACCGCGTTTTAATTGAGAACAGATCCAAATTGGCAAGTCGGTCCTTTTTACAACACCAACGCGTCTCCCCAATATGGCTTCAAACGACTTCATTCTGAGGTTCTCTGTACGCTATCCAGTCACTATTTGCTTGTGCCCATAATGTTATAGCGCCCTCAAGTGTCAACCCAACACACCCCTTTCTGTCCAACTGTGTTTAATGTTTAACCCTGACCTTAGCCTTGATCAATGATCTCCCCGCTAGCGCTCTCCGTTAGATAGCTGAATCAGAGTGAGCAGCTGATCTGGTTTGGTTAGATGTGCTCATTGCTCAGCTGCTATACACTGGCCATGCATGTGCAGGGCTTCGTTGGACGTACATTACATTAAATACCATTTGTACGTATGTCGTACAGTGGCATACATGCAAAGACCATCAGCTTAGCCCTTGATGCAACTGTCATATGCTGGTAAAAATGTAATAATAAGCAATATTGCAACAATCTACTCTTATTGGATGGCTACTTTAGGGGTGGGAAGGGTCTTTGGCAAGTGATGACATACCCCTTACTCCCTAGGCCTTTTTGCTAGGATGTAGCCTCAATCCTGCAAAATCATCCAATTGGCCTCTTGGAAAAATAGCATGTAGCCTGAATCCTGCAAATTCCTCCATTATTTCTTGACTACCGGTATGGTCCGTGGAGAGGTGACCACTGCCTGAATCCTGCAAAATCCTCCGGCTATGACTGCCAATAGGCTGAGGCAGAGGCATCCTGGAGCAGTGCGGAGGATTTCAAGTATAATTAAGGACTGAATTTATGCTAGGCTGAGCATAAACAACACAAGGTCCAGCCCGAGACCTTGACACAGTGCGTCCTCCGAAATCAGCACGCAATTTTGCCATGTAACCTCAATCCTGCAAATTCCTCCAATTTAGGATTGGGGATGGTTAAGGATACTGTTTGTGAGACATGGTGGAGTGCACCTGTAGGCTCTTACATGTATAGTCCTTCACTAATATCTGCACACTACGCACAATGAGATCTGTGCTTGCAAGTGCAATAGTATGAGATTCATAATCATATCAACATGATGACTGACTCGACACTTCGAATCAAAGCATGTCATCTTTGATTGGCTGGAGTTTTAAACAAAAGAGTAAACCACACAGGGAATAAGAAATCTTCAGGTAATTTGGTTGAAAAGATTTCAGAAAGAAACAAACGCGTTAGCAGATTGTCACGGTTGCATCAAGGCTGTCTATCAGTCGCAACTACCGTTAGGCATGATTAGCTGTAATGTTTCTGCATCTGTGAGGAGTTTAGCAGCGGGCTGTCTATTTTTGTACAGGGCCAGTATTGGGTTCAATGCTCTGTATGTATGCACGCCTCGTGACCGACCGCAAACTCAAAAAGGGCTCTGTTGAGCTGTTTAATTGTCTCCGACTCGTGAAATATTGTTTTGACTAGCCGGCCCGAGTGAATGTCCCGGGCTGCGCCTCCGCAATGGATTTCCTGTGGAACCTATTCTCGGCTTTGGATTTTGTGCACAGAAAATAGGTAATTTAATCTGGAACCGATTCTTTAGGGCCCGGAACCGACGATAGCGGGTACCCGGTTCTTAAAAAATATTGGACTCGCGGTTGCGGTTGCGGTTCCCATATTGGAACCGGTTAGAACCGGGGAACCGCCGGAACCGCGCAAGCCTACACTCTACTTGCGTTGGGGAGTTCTTGCTGCCCTCCGACTCTTAATCCACCATCCGTCATGATTTTGAGGCCTTGTTCAGACCACACTTCCTGGGGCCAAGCTCACCCCACACTAATAAGCAAAAAGTGTTCCTACCGACTATTATTGTGTACATGTATACACTGTATTTCATTCAATGTACCATTTTTTATGTTATTTGTTCCTTTGCAATCACTCCAAAGACCTCACAGGGTATGGGGGGGGGGGATCACATGCAGGTTTTAGTTTTGAAATGTTGTAGTGCCTTTATATCATTCACTTACTTTCAAAATAAACTAATGAGCAAGACTTGGTACTTTGTTTACATGCAAGTGTTGACCAAAAAGTCTATTAGAACTAACATTTTCAATTGTTTTCATTTAGCCAAACCTGGATTGGTAATACTTTTCTCACAATTCTAAGTCGGTAGATATTTTGTAATTTAAAGGGAAGATACATTTGCAAAAATCAGAAAACAAAATTATAAACTTATCATGAAATACCTTACTGGATTGTTAGGGAACGACATTCTAAAGCATCCTGTAAAATCGTGGCCCCTAGTGTGCTGACATTTTCAAGAAAATGTGTATATTTCCAACGCTGGTCGGCCGACCAGCGTTGGAGAAAACTGGCTTTTTACCAAAACTGCTCCTAATTTGTCATATTTAGTTATTCCGCATTTTCTTTGCAATTGATTACACACATATGACCCTTCATACAAGCCTGCTAGACTGATTCCCTGACCTTACGATTCCCCGAAGTCTATAAATTGCTCCGTTTCATCTTAATTGGGGTCAGGGAACCAGACTACAAGAAAATGATTGGTTTTCTTGGTTTTTCCAGCATCTACAAGCCCAAAACGTGAAACAAGTCAGTTTAACAATATTTGCTATCACATACTGATCCTCCAAATCCATTTATTTCTAAAAATCGCAGCAAAAGCAAATGTTGTACATTCCCTTTTTAAGTATCATTGTTCCAATCCAAATGCCTTGTTTGATCTTACCTTCACAATGGGCAGTGTGACGCAGGAGGAATACTGTAAATAAACAACAAAACAATAAGGCTTGCATTAAAGTTGCGTGATAAAAGTGCTTCAATATGGTCATTCTACACAGTTGAGAAAAACGTTTTTAGCCAAAAGCCACTAAGGCCAAAAAAAAGTTTCTGGTTTCTGGTATGGAGCTTATCCCAAAAGTGGTGAGGCAACACGTATTTTTAAAAATCTTTTCCGCTACTTTTTTCCTTTTTCAAACGCAGCTGATGTTGCAGATGACGCCTCGATCCCCTTATAACTCTCAATATCCTTCAGAGTGGAGCTTGGGGTGACCTCAGTAAGGCCATAAGGCTTGAGAATTCTGCACCCACTTATGATCTCGACCGACACAAACGTTCTTCGGGAAATTTGGATAGTCAAGACAAAAATCAGAGAAAAATTGTGCAGCAGCAGGATTAAAGTCAAACCAGTGAGTTTGGCGGTTTTGAGACATCATCTTACATTGAATTTTTTTTAATAATTTTGCCGACGCGCATGGCTACGCACATACCAGAAACCACAGACTTTTTTTTTGGCCTAAAGAAAGACAATTTTTTACCTTAATGTTGAATATACCGTGTATAAGTACATTACAATTATGTTATTTTTAATTCCATCAAACTATGGCGCATCTTTTTGCTTAATACCATCAGACACTACATGTACGTTGAGTTACATGTAATGTAAGAGGGAGTAAGACAAGAGGGAGTAAGACAAGAGGGAGTCGCATACATGTAGGTACTTTATACTTGTACAATGTAGCTTCTTGGATACCAACAGAAACCATATACATGTCCTGTTCCAGAAGTAATGGCTGCCATACAAGGGGCTTAAGCCCTTTTCACACTAGAGCTTCTCAACCCGGGTTGAACTCAACCCTGGGCGAACCCAGTGCCGCCCCGGGTTGAGTTTTTTATTTTTCAACCCCGCGTTCAACCCGGCATCGTTTCACACTTATTTCATGCAAATCAAGCTTATCATGCTCAGTTACTACTGTTTTGAGCCCTGGCAAGAATTTCAACCCGGGTTGAAAATCTCAACCCTGGTCTGGAGCAGGGTTGAGTTCAACCAGGGGCGAAATCAATCTCGGGTTGATGCAGGGTTGACGCAGGGTTGAAATTCTTCCAAGTGTGAAACGATGCATGTTTTCAACCCTGCGTCAATCCCAAGAATTGTCTGGTGTGAAAAGGGCTATACATGTACATTCAGTTGCCCCATTCTGGTGCTACATGTGTAAGAGAACTAAACTCCCTCAATACTCTTGGCCCCAACACAAGTCCACAAAAACCCTGCAATAAGTCACAAAACTGATCAGTTATTAGACGCTGTTTGAAACGCACCACATCCCCAACATCTATGCAGTTTTAAGATATCAACTAGGTTATAGTTTAGGTGTCTAATTTCCAAAGTGTCCATGTATTATGTCCCCTTTTTCTGTCGCTCAATTAATTCCAAAGACATGCCGTGAGAAAGTTGTTAGTGCATCGCCCAACTTCAGCAACCTCATTTCGAGTTGCGCATTGTGCATTGCAAGCTTTTTATGCGACGTGCACATACATCATGTATGCGGGAGAGTTTTGTTTTTGTATACACTTTCTGAGTGTGTGCACTGTAGACACGTGCTCACAGATTGGATTGGTGCTGCAAAATGTCACGTAAACAACACTTACAGCACATGATCTATTGCCCATTCATACTACATGTATGTGGTCCATTTAAATGGTGTTATTTTCAAATAGTTAAGCAACGCGAACTGGTGCGAAGCTAGCTTGAGTAACTCCAGCTTGACAAGCTCATCAGGAATGCATGTGAGTTCCTGATGAGCTTGTTAAGCTGGAGTTACTCAAGCTAGTGCGAAGCAGGATTGGAACTGTATTTTGCCCGTGTCTCACGGCAGGCTGTCTGGCACTGTCTGGCACTGTCTGGTCAAATCGCAGTGTGGGCCGGGACATGGCTCGGACATTGTGAGGTGTTCCGGGAAAGAAATCAACTCTTTTTTGTAAATGAGAGATCAAAATCTGATTAAAGAATTCAAATTATTGTTTATTTAATAAGCATTCCTATGATATTAAACAGTTTTGATAGGGTTGTAAAATTTAGAGTTATCAAATAATAATATGTTGACAAAAATGACAGAATGTTTTCACTTAATTTTCCATTTAAATTGTTATATCTCCAAAACGCAAGCACTTATGAAAATGATTTAACCGTTATTCATTTTGTTGTGCGATTCTCTTTGCAATGATTGTTGATGATTTCTTCAAAAACATGAACTCCGTACTTGTGGTTAGCTTTATAAATCCTATTTAATTGAGGGACTGAAGATCTTCAATCACTTTAGGAATATACATTTGCAAATGTTTCAACCGTTGAAAAACGTGTTACAGCTTCTGTAAAAATAACCAATAATAATTTAACAAAAACATGGTAGGAAAGTGAACAATTTACTGGATTATGACGGATTCCCCAACATTGTCAAATAAGGAAACCTGGCTGAAGTTATTTTCCGTTTTTATTTGAGATGCCTTGCTTGCGGATATTCAAACACTCACCAAATATACTAAAGCATATAAAAGATTCGGTGTGCCGGTCCATCCTCGGCCAACCACGTCCAGAAAAGGGGTTGCCAAGACGGCTTCGCCACCTACTCCTGCCGGACCCACATAGTCCGCGCAATCCCGAAAACAACCAAACGTATTCAATATTTGTGGTAATGCCTTTCCTTTAAGAAGTTAACTCGGCATGCAATGCCCAACGAAAACAACGCCATGCTATTTCACAGTGATGACACGATCCAGGGACGAGAGCCAGAAGCCCCACTAAACGGCAGCATTCCGTATGCTGCTTGCGCAAGATTGCTGTCCCAGGAAGTCACCAGCACATGAACACAGTCCAAAATGTGAAGGGATATCCGTGCATTACGTGAGTCATAGAACCGGTAGCAGGCTGGTCGGCTGCACAAAATTGCTCTCGTCTCGCTACAATCTCAACGTCCGTTTTTCCGAGCGAAAACGTCCTCCATCCGTCCAAAATTAGCGCCTGGCCTGTCGTGGGCCAGCTGTCAAGATTGCAAATCCTTTCACTTTCGCACCAAAACCACAGAGTGTGGAGGTTTTTTTAGGGGTGGTTTTCCGCGGCTGACTGCAACATCTACCGATATCGAGGTCGCCTATGCAGCGCGCAGCACGTCATGACCGTCAATGGCGAACAAGTCCTCTAGACTGGACGGGCCATGCTCATTAGCAGACAGGTAAGTCAGTTCCTGTCTGACATGTAACCGCAGAGGGATATCTTTGTCTCGAGTGAAAATGGTCAAATAAATTCATAGATCTAATGACAATTATTCAAAATATGATTTCAAGTAAATATGTATGTATTCTATGGTATTTTAATCAAGCTTACTATCTATATGGTTATTATTGTGCCGAGTTGTGTCCCTCCGTTAATACCATACCCCTGCCTATAATGAATCCGTCAAATCAATTATTAATTAGCTGGTGTATTGCATGTGCAGCAGCCAGCAGGTAGGGGTCGTCTTGTTCCTATGACGACAAGGTCGTCCTACGTTTGTTGTGCACATTTATGATCAGCCAGCCACTTCTTGATTAGAAAATAAAGTACAACTGCAAGCCAATTGCCCTCTTTTAGTATCAAACTCCAATTGTATTTGCTCTTTCTTGAAACCCCTTGATTTTAATTAATTCCAACAGTTGAAAACTAATTATGGCTGAGACAAAACCAGCGGTAGGCAAAGCAGGAACTAGTCTAAACTTTGTAGCAAACGACCAGATTTGGTAAGTACAAGTAAATACATTGCAGTAGGCCGAAGTACACAACAAAGGCGTACACAAGGCTATGTGTGGGCTTGTACTTGTAGCACCACTTACAAGTACATGTACTTGAACATGAACTATCGTGACTATAGGATTATTGGGAAGTCCATGTAACTAGGACCCTACTTATCGCCTTTTTTAACATTCGAACATGGTCACTATGATCGCCCACGCCAGACCATGTCCAGGCGATAAGTAGGGTCCAAGTCATTCGGACTAGGGCCTAGCTATTGGGTAAGTAAAAAGCCAAAATTTAGGAGTAAGGCTTCTCGTTGTTAACGGAATCAATGTTAGGGTCTGGTTTTTTTTTTACAATAATAGATTTCGATCTGAAAACAGATCGAGCCTTGTTTGCTTTGAGCATGCTGAGTTCCATTAATTCCTAACAGACAGGCCTGTAAACATGGCGTAAATCTACCACCATGTGTACAGGTCTAAACTAAAGGTACTCAATCCCAGATAACTTGACCGTTGGTCAACTCAACTCAAACCAAATTGACCTTTGAGACAACTCATCCGTTGTGACAACTCCAACTTCTTCCAAGTCTTCCAGTGAACAAATCGAATGTCAGACAGCTCGACCGTTGAGACAACTCGACTCGGGACAGCTCGACCATTGAGACAACTCGACCGTTGAGACAACTCGACTCCGGACAGCTCGACCGGACCGTTGAGAAACTCCATCTCGGGACAACTCGACCGTTGAGACAACTCGACCGTGGAGACAACTCGACCGTTGAGACAACACAATCACATTTGATTATCCGAAACCTGTCCGCACATCCCAAGTGCCAATGAATGGGATAGCGCCATTATTTTCCTGAACTAAAATAAGCCACTCCCGTCCAGCAACCCCAGCCCCATCAACCCGGCCTGATTCGGACCGAGCCAAGCAGGCTACCCCCAACCCCTACCCCGCCACCCGCGGCTGGACACAAAATCCCCACGGCAAAAAAACCCCCCGTACCCGACTGCCAAATGCCCTCTCTCTCTTTCTTAGCTTGGAAAACCCCAGCATAAATGAAAGTCCCAGCCGAGCCATATCCCTCCCCAATAATCAAACCTGAACATGGCGAAAAATCCCCGGTAGGGCCTACTTTAAATATTCCCTACTGTCCCCCGAAAAATTGTGAGTCGACTTGTCTCAATGGTCGAGTTGTCTCAACGGTTGAGTTGCCTCAATGGTCGAGTTGTCTCAACGGTCGAGCTATCCGGAGTTGAGTTGTCTCAATGGTCGATTTGTCAGACCCCCAACAAATCAATGTGGAGACAACTTGACGGTCAAACCACAAACATCTGGGTTGCTACTTGCGTGATACCTTTGATTCCTCTTATGTCTTTTAAGAGTCTGTGTTATTAGAGTTCACCTTGGAAATTGTTGTAATTGCAAGCATTGAAGAGCCTGTAAAAAGACATTGAAGGCGTGTATTCATAGCACGCAGCATGGTAGCATTTTTCACAGATTGTGTGACTGTTAATGCCAGGACATTCTCCACGCCTCACCGCTGTTTTCAGGGTGACATTAGGTTTGTGTGATATGTCCGTGCTTTAGTTCGTATAAAAAGCCCTCTTGTGACCGAATTTCTCCAGTTCGTTTTGCGTAAAAACAGCTCACCGGAGGACGTCTTTTCAATTGCTTTTTTATATTACAAATACAGTTTTGATATTCGAAATGTAACAACAGAAAAAGGACAGTAATTTTTTATCAGATAGACTGTGAAGTTTTCGGCAAGACATTGGATTAGAAAACACCTTTGAAAAATTACCTTTGATTGCGACATTTATAAATGTCTCAATCGGAAGGAAAAAAACATTCAGGTTTCGTGGGATTTTTCGTATCTGGGTAAGTTAATTCCGAATCAAGTGAATTACCATTGGAAAGAGTAATTAAAGGAGAATACTACTGTTGACGACTTTAGAGAAAAAAACCAGATGGAGCCACGTACGTAGCTATTTAATACATACACTGAATGTAAACAAACAGCGCCATTTGTGCACGAATCCAATAGCAGGCACTACGCGTATCCCCGTCACTAGAAATGTATACACGCAGGGCACTGGCCAACATGCTTCGGCGTACGGTGGTAGCCCTACTTGTTTGAATCGCAAACCCTGCGTACTGTGCAGTTGAATCGAGAAAACCACAGTCCGTGTTCAGTAAACCCACCAGGGAATCCCCCATTTGCAGGCGAGTTTGGGTTTTTTTCTTTCGAAATCACTGTTAATACAAATATAAAGTCTCATTGATGTTTTCATGGCAGTCTTAATTCTAACTTAACTTACTTGTTTGCAGAAAAAAAAGCTTTATTTTTGACCCCTTTTTTCGCTGGTTGCTGGCTTTCGTTCAGCAAATGGAGGCCTTTTTTTTCTTATTTCGCAAAAATAACGACATCGCATTTGAAATCTTTGATGGAGATGCTCAAGTTATTCATTTTGTAACCTACATTGGGACAAATCTTATGGCTTCAATAACTATCTCTTGTGTTATGAGCAGTATTTTGGAAGGCCGTTCTCAGTGATTTGTTTTTAAGAACGTTCATGAATGTTAATTTTACAGCACAACCCGGAAAAACTGGCGCATGCGCATAAACCAAATGTCGCGCTGTGAGCCTCTGGAACAGCGGTGAGGAGAAAACAGAGCTTAAAGTTTAAATCTTTGAAATTGTACATTGAAGGATCTTTTATTCCTTCTAACTCAACTTTATCCAACGTAAGACCAGTGGTTGTGTACGTCCCTACAACTACACAAAACTGAAGCATGCACAAAAGTCGAAATGCAATTTGTTAAAAGTTTGGGGTTCTCAATAATATGTGTCATTTAAACAAAATTCAAAACAAAAATGTGTCTCCTTTAAAGCCATAAATTTGAACAATAGTTTGAAACGTGCTTGGTCCACTAATTAGTTGCACCTCAATACCATCCAAACCAAGGCTGTGCCTGGTTTTTATCCACTCCTTTTCTGCAGTGATGTTACCAGCAACTTTCAAATTAATGTGTGGCAACAGATACAACGCCCCCTTGTAAACATCTGTGCAAAAGGAACCTTGAAAATGTATTAAACTTTAATGAGAAGTCTAATGTGCACCGTGCACGTACTGCTTCCATTGGTGAAGCAAGTGCAAATGGAATGGGTGAAGAAATAGTCCATGATTTGTAATTTGTGCATTTTGTTCGTTTGAAGCAACAAAAGGCTCAAATTCTAAAGAAGGGTGCTGAACAACTAACCTGATGAAGTTTCAGCTGAGCTTCAGCTGTATATTTCGAGAACAACAACCTTGATTTCAAAACAAAAGTTGCGGAATCATGTTTTGAATTGGGCCTGAATTCAGCGTTTATGACACGTTCTCACTGAGCTGATTGCAGCTACGCGATGTCGTGCACCGATCTGACGAATTATAGCAACTGTGCGCGCCTGTGCATAGTGTCAACGCTTGCGTGCGCTTCGCCGAATAAAAAAACGAACTACTAACAGAAATTTCCAACGGTGCTTCTTAAGATGCACCGTTGGAAAGGCCTTTTTTTGTTGATTTCTTCAAAATGACAGCTTGCCAGAAAAAATAATTTCACAGGAAGTTTAGTCCCCTTACTATCTTTCAACCAAGTATGTTTTTCAACAATAATTACGCCAGTTACTTTTTGGATAGCTGCAAATGGCTTTAAGAAATCCAATCCAGTTCCGAACTGTAGACAGGTTTAGAAAGTTCTCTTTATAAGAAAAGCAAACTGCATTCAATACACTTTCATCAAGGAACATGAGCTTGAGTGAGGCACTTTGTAGCTCAGTTATTAACTGTATCTCAGGAGACAACTCCTCTGGAAAGCCAACGTACTATAAACCGTGTATTGCAAATACATCAGTGGTTCTGTCGGGAAAAAATGATTAGGCTAAAAAGCCGAGATGCTGGAACACATGATGCACTTTATTCAAGATGGGAAATTTATTATCATCAGCAGTTTGTCTCAAGGACAGTCTGGGTCGTTACCAGAGGAGTTCTATAGATGCCAAGGTTGACTGAGTGCAAACACATTCATCATGAACTTTAATTTAACATCTGGCAATTGGCAAGGCGCCATCATTACACGTCGTTATTACACATCGGTGCATCATATACGTACGGCAAGTTTTTAGGTACTTTTTAATACAAAAATTATCCTTTTCATACAGTGAGCAACTAGGAGTGACAAACTTAGTCATTTACATGCTCTGGCAGGCAATTTCAGAAATTGCACCGGTCGAGTCTCGTTAATACAAACTCGTTCGGACCTAGCCAAATTGTTTGGCCTTATATCAGGATTTTGTATTAAGAGGAACATCAGTTCCATTCATTGTGCACATAAATGCACAGTCGGGACTAAGGCTTTATGTTTGTTATAACCAGAATTTTGAATTAACAGAGTTTCTCCTGTAGTTTGAGATTCGACTGTAGTTCCTCTGACTTATTTGTAAATTATCTTTTTGACAACGTGGCAGGTTAAAACTAAGACTGATACATATGAGTGAGTGTCATGACTATAATTTTTTAATTTGTTATGCTCTCATATTTTATTCTTTCTTTACTTTGTTTTCTTTTGTAGGAAAGATCATATCAAGTATGAAATAGATGCGGCCCGTCGATGGCCTAATGATTGGGGCTTTCTCAGGACAAGTTACGGTGACGTGAGTAATTAAACTTTAAAAAAAAAATGAGTTTCCTGGATTAAACATGTTTTCCCCCCTTTCTTGAAGTTGTCTGTGTCTTCAGTCTTTTGTGGTCAAGGGCAATTACAAACCATCTTGGCCCCTAGAGGTAGATCACTTCATAACTGCTACATCTGGATAAAAACATAGAATTCAGGTTCATAATTGGGAAAGAGGTTTTGGGTTTTGGGTTTTGTGCATAAATAGGGGCATGAAGATGGGAATTGTAGAAACAAAATTGAGACAGACGGAGCAGAGATAACACACAGTTTGAAAATGTATCGAGCATGAAAGTTCGTTTCCTGTCCCATTATTATATCAATTAAATAAAAGATACCTTTTTGAGACTTTGGTTACAGAACTCGTATCACCATGGGACACCATCACGGTGTCTTTATTAACTGGTGTTGATCCGAGCTCTGTAACCAAAGTCTCAAAAAGGTATCTTTTATTTAATTTAAAAATGTAATCATTGCAAATGGCAGCTTGAATAAAGCATCACATGTAGGGAACCAAGTCATCCACAGAAATGCAGAATGGCATTTAATGGATTTCCATAAGCTGTCATATGCACTTGCAGACTACTAAAATGCAGAGACTGTATGAAGCAGACTCATAGAAGCCTGGCAAATGCATGACTGATTGCTAAATGAGAATGACCTTATATGCCTCCAGCCAGACAAATTACCAGATGGCTGGAGTTAATGGACCAGGTGATCACGACTGTGGAGTCCACGTAGACAAGGCTGCATCAGGAGGGCACCAGGAAGCCTGCACACGCAATCAATATTCATATTTTCATTGTTTGAAACGAAATGCACAAAATGACCATGGCCAGTTGAGAATGTTGTCTAGACAAGCAGATGATAGTCCTAACACCTGCTGGGGCTCAGAGTAATGCAGGGTCAGGTGGTGGTGGCGCAGGCCTGCCATCTCTGGTGTTTGTTGTTAGATGTCTAAGGAGCTGAGATAATACAGCTTATCTTATGCATTGAAATATGATTTAATGGCCCTAGCCTGGTGTAATGACTAGGAGCAAACCATTGACTGCTGTTGAGGACTTCAAGGATGTGTTAATGAGCTGTGGTATCGCAGGGCTTAAGCTGTGTCTGCACAAGTGTAACCCCCCCCCCAAAAAAAAATCCATTTTCTTTCTATGTCCACAACAACAATCATTGTCATCAAATGATGTCAAACTGTATGTTATCTATGTTCCCTAGTTGGTAAAAGACGACTTCCAGAAACGAGAGATCAAAAAGATTGAGCTACCCCCACCGCTGACTCTGCCACCTATCACTCCAATCTCAAGATACATCAAGGTGCTGCCATCACCCAAGCCCTACCCTACGACCTCCAACTCTACCATTGGCTGGAGATCTGGACACCGTGAACACCGACTTGAGAAATACGGGTCTTATGCCCGCCCGAAGGGAGGGCTGGTCAAGCAGCTGAACTGGCCAGCAGAAGGAATCGAGTAACTCCTTGATAGATCAGCAGAAAGACTGACACTACAATCAACAAGGGCTAGTGTTGGACAAAGTGACTGAGCCTTGGTTGGCATTGAGGAACTGTCGACTATTCACAGTGTCTGCTGGGTGTCAACCTACAGAGAACGTTTGTGGCTTTGCCAGTACAGTTACAGATGATTTGACTTGCATCTCTTGTGACAAATGGATCACACATGAGAGTTCCAAGTCCATGAAGGTGTACAGAGTCAACCATACAGGGCATGTAGAATGTTTGAGCACTAAGAATTTGATTTCAAAACTTCAAATGATGCATCCCAACCATTGTCACTAACAGGCCGGGTTTTATTTCAAGCTACACAGTACGAGTCAAAAGAAAGCGACCGGGTTAGAAAAACAATTAACAATAAAATAACATTGAATCAAAAATAACGGAAAGATTCCCATATCTGGCCATCGCTACATTTTCCCTTCAGTGACCTATCAGCCATCAGAAAGTGATAATATGCCCTAAAAAGTAATATTTAGCCGGGAAAATATTGAAGTTTTTACTAAGAAAACTCTTAGAAATTTTCAGACCAGTCCCATATGGTTTGTGCACAGGGGGACAAGTGATGGCCAGATATGGGAATCTTTCCAAAATAACATGGGAATAAAGTAGTTGTTATGGACTTAAAACTGAACATTTCTAGTTACATGTATAAACATCACAAAATAGAAATATCACAAAATTCAGCTGTCCACCACTGATCAATAACTGATACGCATTGATGAATACCTTTTAAATACAATGAAAGACAACTTGCAAAAGAAAACAGACAAAAAATTACCATTCTCATTTCAGAAAAAGACTTCATTTATTCCTCGTATCAAACTTGGAATGTTTATACAATAAACATGCTGTACCATTAAGCACATATTGAAGACTTCATTTGGTGATGTTGGTTGATCATTTTTATGAAACCTTGTTTTCATTTGATCGTCCCTTTCAAACAGGCCGTACCGGTATGTCTCCATTTTCCAGATAAACTGACTACATGTATAAACCATTTAACAAAATCAGCTGTTATGTACACGTAGTTCCATGCATATTTTCTTGTTGCAAGTACATGTACATGTATTTATTTTTTATGCAATTGTTAGAAGTGGGTTCATTGCAGCGCACATTAGCTTCCAAAACGTGACAAAATGTGGAGTCTGGCTGTTTTATGTGTGGCTCAGTTGAGCATATGGCATTTTATATGTGCTTTCTTCATCATTATCTGTCGTGTTTAATGTAAAACTCAAATTTATTGGTTGCATGGCCTTTGCACAATATTAGTTAGTAAAAAATATGCAATCGATCAGACCACTTACATTAGGTAGCTAGTCATGCTGTGTTGTATAAGTAAAACTTCTTTCTTAGAACATTTTTAAAGAAAAGGGGTTTATTTTTTATAAGCATCGGATTTTTTAAAACACAGTCACAATGAAAACTCTCTGCGTAAAGGCATAGTATAGGATCATGGTGTTTTTTTTTTTCATTTTGTTATTATTTTCCAATAATATGAAACCACTCTAAATTCGTAGAAGAATGTGCAAAACCTAACCTGTTGAAGTTTCAGCTCGGGGGAAACTTTTTGAAGAAAACTTTTTGAAGAAAACTGTGAAGAAACCACGCACAACCTTTTGATCACGAAACACAATTTTGTTGACAGTTCTTTATTCCAAAAATCAGTCATTTCACTGATCGTTAGAAATCACCTACATTTTTGTGTGATATTTCTCTAAATGACAGCAAGCCAGATGGAATAATTTCACAGGGTGTTTAGTACCAGTATGATCTTTAATCCAAGTAAGTTTTTGGATAATAATTCGGTAGGTTTCTTTTGGGATAAATGCTAATGATCCTTTAGGCCAAAAAAAAAATGTCTCCGGTTTCTGGTATGCGCGCGCGTCGCCGTAGCCATCCGCGTCGGCAAAATGAAAAAGTTTTTTTTTCAATGAAAGATGATGTCTTAAAACTGCCAAACTCACTGCTTTGACTGGAATCCTGCTTCTGCACAATTTTAAAGTGTTTTTAGATGGGGTTATGATCGAGAATAAGCTTTATGTGGCCTCTCTGGTCTCCCATAATATTTGCACTAAGTTTAGTCGGGCACCATTTGCAGTCATCAGCCGACATTTGAAGCAAAAAAAAAACAGGTAAAAAAAAAAAAAAAGCCGCGTCGCCGCACCACTTTTTGGGCAAGCTCCATACCAGAAACCGGAGACTTTTTTTTTTTGGCCTTATGTCTGTAACTATTTTGTGAAACCTACTGTGACTAGAAGAGGAGATTTTCAAAATGTAATTTATTTTTATTATTTTTTTTTGCCCAGCCAGCCTACCACGCAACTTGTACTACATATAACAGGCTTGTTGCATGAATGCATTTCAGGGAATCATGTGATGGAAAGAAAAGTTCAAATAGGTTTGGTTTCATTTTGATGCTTGTATCACCCATCAGTGCCTTGATGAAACACGATTGTTCATACTTCTGTTTCTACTGCCAATTCTTTGGTTTACGTGTGTGAAAAAGACGGTTTTGACCATAATGAGCTTCTTTTGTGTCATTTGGTATTCCTGTCTCTCTATAGACTAGACTTACACATAAATGTTAAATCATGTCCTTTTCTTAATACATGATACATGTACTTCCAATTGACAAATAAAATATTTTGTAAAAAGTTATATGTATGCCAGTTGCAGGTAAAGATATTCTATAAATACAATTGATGTCAGGTATGTGTATATTTTGAAATAAATTAAGCGTATTTACTGTACATTGTGACACCTTTTGTCTTGTTTACGGTGTTGCTGTGGATATTACTCAACCATTGCAAATTTTTTTAGTAATCCCTTCCCCATAATGCAAGATAACCCATGCGACTCACTTGGAAGTTTGTAACTCTTTAATCTTTTCATAAGTTCAGGGAGATATACGCAATACTAGTGCTTGAGTGAACTTGAAACAAATAACCCATCTTGCGGTCTTTTCGGATATCTTCATTTTATATGAAGACTCACATTTTCCTTTTGTATAACACTGGGTTGGTTTTTTTAAGGCATATCATAGGATCGTTTGCTTTTCATGCATTTTGTTAGTTGCCACGTATTTTCATTGTATTAGCACCACGCAAAATGCAAAGAAGAATGTTCAAATCCTAACCTGTTGAACATTGAAGTTTCAGCTTGTTGGATATTACACTTTTCGAGGATACATTGAAAAACCATGCGCAACGTTTCGATCACGAAACACGATTTCGTCAATAAGTATAACACTATTCCAATCAGTCGATTGACTGATCAGTCCAAAAAAAATTAAAAATTCTGCTTCCGGTTTCCCTACCTACCCTATTCCGACAGCCCCTACCCTAATTTATTGTATGGGAAAATTGAGGAAAAAACGCCCAAAACCATCAATTTCTACCTTTTACCCTTGACTACATGCATACGCCTACCACCCTACCTACCTACCCTATGTTCAAATGCCATGTAATCGGAAGCAGAACTATTTTTTTTGGCCGTATTGGAAAATCCCCTACATTTGTTGATTCCTTGATTTCTTCTAAATGACAGCAAGCCAGACAGATTTCACAGGGTGTTTAGTACCAGTATGGTCATCTTTAATCCAAGTAAGCTTTTTGAGAATAATTCAGTACCCTATTTTTGGGATATGATCCTATCTTAAGTATGGTATTTTCAAGAGTGGCATGTTTATCATGTATGATTGCAGACGCTGCAAATAACATACACACCATTCATTTTAGATAGCAAGCCAGACCTTGCCCCCAACCCCCTTATAAAGCTGGCCAAAAATATATCTCCCTGATAAGATATCTAGGGGATCCCTTACGGTTGTGTACTTACATTTATTTTCCCGTCCTTCATTCCGAACACAGCGAAGCGTTTTACGTCGCTTTGAACTTCTGTGCCCTGAGTTTCAAATTCAGTACAATCATAGAGCAAGGTACAATGAGCAAATAACAGACAGACTTGACACCAACACCTAAAACTGTCAACTAACCTTTTGTCAGAAAGCCCAATACAATGACGTTTTGCTGGATATGCCATTTAAAAGCATAGCCCTCCAGTTGGGGCGAGGGGGGGGGGGGGGGGGGGGGGGATAGTTCTCAAATGATCGACAGCCGTGACTGCTCACCAGACTGTGTCATGACGTAACGTCTGCGAGCTGCACGCATGTGTGGTTCATTTACAACACTGCACCCGCCGATAAAACTGATTTCAATAATTCAACTTAATTTTCTAAACAACTCGGAGGCAGTCAGCTGAATCGGTTTATACTGCAAAATGTAATCTCGAATCCACCTCCAGATATTTTTTTTCTTTCCCACAGTGGTCCGTTTGTAAGGTTAAAAGAGTATGCTCGATAATACATATTTAGTTAGCATAATTATTTGAAATAAGGTTTCGTGATATTTCTCTAAACGCCATGTATTTATTTGTAGGGTTTGTATGGAGTGATATACATGTATTAGGAAGATGAATCGTCACTGGTAAAATTAATGATCACAATTATCAGTTAATTTGAATGAAATCCGCGCAGATTAAGTTGTCAAAAGCTCAGTTAAGTAATTGAAATAAATGCATTGGATGGATGAGTAAATCGCTTTTTTGTTTTATGCTTTTCCTCCAAAAGAAGACAAATATATCACATGGAACAACAGCCCACCATCACTTCCTCAGACATAATTAAATTGTTTCCCTCTGTGCAGGGCAACACACTTTTCATTAGTCAAGCTTTCCTGGTCACAGTACGCGAACTAACACATTTGCCCAAAGATGTGTCTTTTTATTGCCGGAGTCTTGTTTCCTTTAAATGAAAAGTGTTTTTTGGGAGGCCAAAAAAATGTGCCAAAATAATGCAAAATACAACAAAATTGGCAGATTTGAAAAAAACAAACATTTGCTCAAGTTCCCCCAGCAAATAATTCTTTTGGTGCACGAGATAAACTTGTTTTTGGTGAATAAAAAAGCTCTTTTATTTTCTATAAATGGTTAAATGGTAGACTAGACTTTCAGTGGTGGATCGTTCGTTGGGGGAATGATTTAAGTAGTCCAGGGCAGCGAAGAATAGGAAAATCATGCAGAAGAACGCATAACTTGCCTGCCGACCAGTGTTGTAGTCGAGTCACCAACGTCGAGTCCGAGTACGAGTCTTGAGTCACAAGCCTGGAGTCCGAGTCTCGAGTCACAAGCAGCCTCGAGTCCGAGTCTCGAGTCACAGGAGTCCGAGTCATGAGTCACTTGTTCTTAGTTTTTCACCAAACTAATCAATTTTTTAAAATTATTTTTCAATCATCCATTCTGTCTTTTAAGTAAACCCCAGTGTATATAGTTTACCTTGTGTGTGTGTACATGTTTTATAGCTCCATGTTCAGACCCAAACAACCCTCCTCCATGATACCCGGACACTTTTTGGCATGACACCGGGCGCCGGGCCCTGGTGCTCGTCGTGCAGGCGCTAGGCGTGCGTGCGCGGCCCCTGGATACGATTTTCCGCGGCGTCGTGTTTTGTCTATGGAGTAAAAAAGGATGCAACTTTCGTCACGCAAATACGCAAGGCCAAAAAAAAAAGGCTCCGGTTTCTGGTATGGAGCTTGCCCAAAAAGTGGTGCGGCGACGCGGCTTTTTTTTTTTTTTTACCTGATTTTTTTTGCTTCAAATGTCGGCTGATGACTGCAAATGGTGCCCGACTAAACTTAGTGCAAATATATGGGAGTCCAGAGAGGCCACATAAAGATTATTCTCGACCATAACCCAATCTAAAAACACGTTAAAATTGTGCAGCAGCAGGATTCCAGTCAAACCAGTGAGTTTGGTGGTTTTGAGACATCATCTTTCATTGAAAAAAAAACTTTTTCATTTTGCCGACGCGCATGGCTACGGCGACGCGCGCGCATACCAGAAACCGGGGACTTTTTTTTTTTGGCCTAACGTTATGTTTTTTCTTTTGATGAAAATACGTGACTCGAGTCACGAGTCGCCAAGCTCCAGTCCGAGTCATCATGGTCGAGTCCGAGTCCGAGTCATTTTCCAATGTGACTCGATTCGAGTCCGAGTCACGAAAAATGTGACTCGAGTCCACGTCCTGGACTCGAGTCCTACAACACTGCTGCCGACACCCCCCCCTCCACATAAATCTGGATCCGCCCATGACGTTTGATCACAGGAAGCCATTTGTATTGAGGCCAACAACAATTTAAAGAAGGGACAAATGTATGGACAATTAA